TTCCTGCCAGAAAAAATAAACAAGTACCGTCAAAATGTGTGCAAGGAAGTCCCAGTTCAAGTATGAGAAAAAGTAAACTGCCCAGCTTTGTAAGACGCCGTCGTTTGTACACAACTGAACACGTGTGTGCTCAACACCACACCGGCCACTGTGTGTGTCGAAAGAGGAGAGGGCCAAGAATACGAAGAATCCTCAGACACAGTCCTCCGTGTGCTCATGGTCCATTAGGGAGATGACATGAATTCACATGGAAACCCAGTGACCAGAGGTGAAGGCGTCATTTAATAACCGGTGGGAGGCTCCACTTAGACTGCAGAAAACGCCTAAGGTAGAGTTTCATTTATTCCTGCATCAGGTGTTTGTTGAAGACATTCTGAGTGCTGCACACCATAGCATGTGCTGGGCTTTCACTGGGGAGCAGGACCAAGAGGATCCCTGTCCCATGTCAACTCACAAACGTGATCTTTCCAGAGATTGGTATCTGTGAAGAAGAAAGGAAAGCAGCGCCGTAGAGAGACCCAGTGGGGGACTGTGGCCAAGGAGTCAGTGAGCAGGGGCATAGCAGGTCTCTTAGAGGAGACAGCCTTTGAGGGAGAGGCAGCCTGGCAGAGAGTTAGGGGCACAGAGCTCCAGGCAGAGGGAAGCAAGAGGGAGGCGGGTGCATTCCAGGAACAGAGGAGGGCAGAGGCTGCCGCAAAGGAGACAGATCCCAGGCAGAATTGAAGCGTAGCAGGGAAGTGATCTTGGTTATGGATAACTGACCCAAGCAGATCCTGGGAAATGAGTTAAGAGGCTATTCCGGCAGCCCACCTGGCTGAGGGGTCATTGGGGTGGGGCTTGCAAGAGGGGGCTGGAGAGCGTTGGATTCACTGTATATCTGGAGGGGGAGGAAGGGCGGCTGAGCTGGTGAACAGCTGGGGTGAGATCACGGAGAGTCTTAAATTTGTAAGTGTGGATGTTTCTGCTAGGCAGTAGGGGTCTGTGGCCACAGATGATCTCTCTCTTCTCATGTGGGGATTAGGCTGGCAGCAGGTGGGAGAAAAATGCTCCCATCGTTCATGTCCTGAGTCAGGAGGGTGTGAACTCGGGTGTGGAGAAGAGCAAGGAGGAGACGTAGACTCTGGAGGTTTTCGGGGACAGAAACGCAAGCTCACCAGCTAACTGGGTGCATCCCAAAATGGAAGAGTCAGAAATGGCTTGCAGGCTTCCTGCTAGGATACCTGTCAGTTCTAAGACAGTGGCAGGGGTGTCCAACTCGAATTAAGTCAGGCAGCTTTGGAGGAGAAGTCGCCTTGGAAGTCCAGAGAGCTTGCTCAGCAGATGCTTACTAGGGAGAAATAGGGTGGGGTGAGGGGAGAAGTGGGATTAAGAGCTCTCTGCATGGGAGTGGTGGCTGCAGTCCAAGGAGAAGGCGAATTACCAAGAAAATAAAAAAGGAGCAGGGAGCCCCTGGGGAGCTACCCATTTTCGGGCAGCCAAAGAAGCAAGGGGAAGGAGGGGCCATCCAGGGGGTGGAAGGAGAATCAGGAGCCATGCTTGGCCTCCGGGACACCTTCAGGCACACGCTCTGGAGTGTCCGCTTGTTTGCACGTTGCTGCGTCCCTCTGTCTGGCACGTCATTATTCCCAGGTTAGGCACGTAGCAGACCAGTAACTGTCGTGGATGAACAAATACATGTGCAACAAAGACAGTTTCCTTGGGCTCAGTCATCTTGTTCTCTTGGAATGCCGAGCCTCTTAAATACAATCATCCAAGCTCCCCTGATGTTCAGAAGTAGTGACTTCACTTGTGTCCTGTGGCAGCTTCCATTTGAAAAACGGAAAACCATCCCACTTTCTGCCAAGATTATAGGTTGCTTGCGCTGACTGAAACAATGTAACAAAATGCCCCCGTTGACAGATTTTGTGGCTGTCACTCATTAGCTCTTAGACTCACTGCTGTTCAGACATGGACATTCCTGCCTTTCCTGCCTCCAGATGCAGACAGCCTTTCAAATAACACCAAGTGGCATGGGTGGAACCCATGGACCTGTCCTGGCCTCTGCGTGGTCTCCAGAATTAACTGAAAGGGCCTCCCTATGAGCATTCCTGCTTGCACCTGACCTGAAAAGCTGCCTCCCTTGGGGCTGGGGGAAACTGAACCAAATGGGGCATCTAGAAGCTGTAGAATCAGGAAACCTTAACTGAGGTGCAGGACAAGGAGCCAGACTTGAAGCCAGAGGCTCACTCCTGCCAAGCAGGGGTGTGGTGTGGAAATGACAGGAAGCCAGTGTAGGGAAGGTCTAGAGCAGGCAGCACCTGACATGGGAAAGCCCAGGTGGGAGCCAGAACAGGTGCCAGGAAGGAGGCCAGGGAGAGACCAGCTCTGTGGACAGTGGTCCTGCGTCCCTACTGGAGGCAGGTCTGGAGACCACGCACTGGAGCTCTGAAGTGGAGCAAAGAAGCAGATATGTGGTCTCATGGATTTGGTCTGGGCGTTTGCTGAACACTGCTGGGGGACATTTTCTGATCTTGGCTACTCTTTGTTCTTAGCCCCTGTAATCTTTTTTTTTTTTTAAATTTGAGGCAGACTCTTGCTCTGTCTCCTGGGCTGGAGTGAAATGGCACGATCTTGGCTCACTGCACCCTCTGCCTCCCAGGTTCAAGCAATCCTCCTGCCTCAGCCTTGGGAGCAGCTGGGACTACAGATGTGTGCCACCACGCTTAGCTAATGTTTGCATTTGTAGTAAAGACCAGGTTTCACCATGTTGGCCAGGCTGGTCTCAAACTCCTGACCTCGTGACCCACCCACCTCAGCCTCCCAAAGTGCTGGGATTACAGACATAAGCCACCCCACCTGGCCAGCCTCTGTAATCTTTATACTGAGCAACTTGGTAGCAGCTGGCTAGCAGTCCACATCCAGAATCCAGGCGACCCTGCATTGGGCTCCAGCCTCATGGTGCCTCGTCACAGCCGGCTTCGCTCCAGGTCACTGTGGTTGGTCTGTGCTGGCAAAGCGTTGCAGTGGGTTGCCAGTTACCATCTGTGTCTTGCTATGTTACTGGTGTCTCCACAGCTGCCATTAAGCCCACTGTTCTGCGTTTGCTCCTTGCTGTCCTCTGGCCACTAAAGCCTCTGAGTTGACCCTTTTCCTCTTTGTATACTAACTTTGAGCAAGTTTGATCTTTTATTCATGTTCTGCCCTTTTTCAGATTTCATAATGGTCATTTTTAGACTCAGCTTGCTTAGTTTTTAGAACATCTTAAAGTCTTCCTTGGAATCTGTTCAGTTGCACTGTCACTTTGGGCAGAACAATGTTAATTTCCCATTTAATCTTATTCAAAAAAATAGCTTTAAGGGTGAGACTTGAGGACTACTGAACATGAAGCGCATTCCCCTGTCCCTTTGAGTAGCATGCCATGGTGCAGCGGGTCTCCTAGCATGGCCCCGGGCCAGCAGCCTCAGCCTCTCTTGGGAGCTGATTAGAAATGCACATTCTCAGGTGCACCCAGACCTGCTGGGTCTGAAGCTCTAGGGCTGGGACACGGCCATTTGTGTTTTAACAGCCCTCCCTGTGAGTCCAATGCACACGTAAGTTGAGGAAGTGCTGCCGTAATGGAGTAGAGGATGCTGATGTCTTTGGGGAGTTGTGGGGCCAGGCACTTGCCTCCAGGGGTCCACATGCAGGCAGCCTGGCACCCCAGGCGCTGTGCCGGCTCCAAGCCCTGGCTGTGAGGGGAAGCATGGTGCTGCTGCTCCTTGTCTAGGCATCGTGGGAAAGGGCTAAATCACCTCCACTTGGATTATCTTAGATCTTGATTTCTGGCTGTAGATTCCTCTGGAGTCTGAAGCACCAAAATGTAATTTGGGGTGCAGGGCAGTAGGAAAAACCCAGTCCTTGTTCTTGAAGCATTAGCCTTATAGGGGGAAAATGTGGAGGGACATTTAAGCAATCTAGTAGATAAATACCCAGTGTTTACCATAGTATAAACTTAGGTTATTTTACGTAATACAAAATTCTCACTTTAAAAAAAAAACAAGTCCAAACCTTTTTCTACTTTTTATGAAGTGGGCTGTGCTTTTCAGGTCCCCCTGGGGTAGAGACAGCCTCTCCTCTGCTCTCAGACGTGCCTTGTTAAAAAGGTTTGAGCAATGGGACTCTTGGTAGACTCGGTCTCCCTACCTGAGAAAAGAGGGGCCTGTGCCCAGCCCTGCCTGAGTGAGCTGTGGGCATCCCTACCTTGGTAGGAAAGTCTGTGGTTTCTGTTGCGTATTCTGAGACTGCTGGCTATTTCAGCCAAGTTGCAGGTCACCCCCGCAGCCGGGAGGGGAGCCCCCATGATGTGAAACTGTGGCTGCACCAGCTGATCTGAGGGTCCAGGCTTCACTCCCTCCCCACGGTCTCTGCCCCCAAGAAGTCAGGGTGTCAGGTCTCAGTGTGACTTCCACGGACGCTTGTGCCTTCATGGGTCTCCCTCCTCCAGAACAAATACCAGAAAATACACTTGACAATTATGTGGGTACAAAGACAAATATTCAGGTTGGATTCTGTGCGTTTCTTTTTCCTCTCCTGAATTAAAATATTTTCTTGGGCCTTTGAATGGATCAGGGCCTCAGGCCCCATGCCTGCTGGGCCTCGTGGAAAGGTTAGCCTCGTGGGGCAGCGTCTTTAAAACCCCTCTGAGTCTTAACCACAGAATAAGGAGGCCCCTCTGGTTCTTTAGAAAATCGGCTGTGATGGCATCATTGGGTCTGCGGCCAAAGAGGACCGATGCGGGGTCTGCAGCGGGGACGGCAAGACCTGCCACGTGGTGAAGGGCGACTTCAGCCACACCCGGGGGACAACAGGTGAGTGTCGGCCCACGGGGGCTGCTGTGGCCACGGGACAGTCAACACCTGCTGTGTGTTTTGTGACCTTTGCCTAAAGCTACTCATGGCAGTCAGAATTTTGACCTAGGCAGGTCCGTTCATCTGTCCACAATCATGTCCTCCTCCCCTGCCCTCCCCTTGCCCTTTTCCATCCACCCTGGCCTGGGCCCCATCCATGTCTGGAATGTGAGGTCAGTAACCTTTTAGCCATGACAGTGAGTCCCCCTTGGAAAGATAGACCACACCGGAAGCCTCCTTGGGTAGCTGTCCCCATCCTGGCTTGCAGCCTAGCGTGTGTCCTTCCAGCTGCCAAGGCACAGAAGCCTTAGCAAGCCTTCAGAGAAGGATGAGCACACGTTCACTCACCTGCCTGGACTGCTGTTCTGGGTGGTTGCTAGGTGTCACACATTCATGTTAAGGTGCACAGCGGTTTTGTTTTTGTATGCACATTCTCACAGCTGGAGTCTGAGTGCGGGCCCACATCAGTATGGATTCTCCGTGTTGAACATCTGCGTGCAGTACTTGTTTGCATGTGAAAGAGTCACTGGCTGCTGATCTGCTTTCATTCAGCACAAGCCTGTCGTCATGGTCTGACATACTGGAATGCACCTAGACAGATACAAATGGTCACCTACAGGCCCATTTACCCAGTCATTATTTAGGCAGCATGACTACATTTTAAGTCCTAGGTATTCAGAAATAACTTACTGTCCCCACCTCGGATACAGTCGAGGGAGGGGACCCCTGGGCAAACAGACAGCTTGAGTCTGTGTGAGCATGAGGTGGAGGCAGCGCAGCAGGCGTGTTGTGTGACCCCAGGTTCTAGTGGGGCCCTAGACCTCAGCCTGCAGAAGATGAGGGTGGCCCAGCTCTAAAGGCCACATAGAAATCAGCTGATAGTGGAGTAGTCAGGGGACACCTCAGGCTGAAGGGGAGACATATCCCTGCGAGGCCCAGCGTGGAAATCATAGCCCCCAGCTCAAGGGGCACCTCGGTGACGCCAAGCGTGGCTCAATGGGTGGATTCACCGATCCTATCAGTTTACATAGGAAGGTAACTTTCATCTCTGCCTGCCTACAAAGAATGAGGGGAGGAGGAATGCCTTATCACCCTTAAGGGTGCATGTCAAAGAGAAACTCCACACCAGGAAGATAAAATGGAGTCAGCTGCAGGATTTTTGCCCAATTGCATGAGGTCCTGACTCCTGCCTGAGCTCCTATGGGTCCTTTCCCCAAGTTCCTGAGCCGAGAATCCAGGGCAGACCCACACGTGGCAAGGTGTCCATCCCTGCAGAGCCAAATCTCCCTCTCCATCATGAGAGGGTCCCAGTGTGACACCAGGGGAGGTGGTGTCCTGAGTGCAGGGCGTTTATCACCCTCCAGGCTTTGCTTCCAAACTTTGAACAAATGAGGTCCTCAGTTGCTTATCTGTGGAAGGAATCAACTCAACGTGGCTATCACGTTGCTTTTCTGATGGATGGGCTTCACAGTGCTCATGCCTTGGGCTGGGTTAAGACCATTGAGTTATCTGAACCTAGCAATTGGAGAGTTCTTGGTATGATGCTTTCATTTCATTGAACTGCCATCTTAGCATTATCGTCTTTATTCCGCCCTGCTCCTTGGCACTGAAAAGGTGGCTGGTCATTCTCCAGATGACCGGCCCGTGGATAGCCAGAAACACCTGGACTGAAGTCCCCACTGAGAACCAGCAAGGATGCTGTGGGCTTTGGATCCCTTGGCTCTTTGTTCAAATAATCCTTCAAAGAAGGGGTGGGGTGAAGATCCCTTTTGAATGTGGATAGTTCCGTGTGTCACCTATTTATTCAGTAATTACCTCTAGAACCCCAGCTGCGCGCCACGTTTCCTTGCTCCGTCTGGGCGTGGGGTGTGGAATCTTGTGGGGAGAAATTGACTGTTAGGGGCTGGTGGTACAAAATGAGGCTTCTTTACACTGTGATGAAGAATCATAAAATGTGCACAAAAGCCAGTCACAGTGTACTTCTTTTTCTCAGTTAAGAATGATGTTTGTGCGACGGTATCCACATGTGTGATGGCAGAGGCTGTCCCCGAGTGTTGCTCATGTAAAATGTTGGGTGTTACGTGTCATCCCAGCAGTGACATGCTTGGTGTGGCTCTTGCCTGGCTCACGCGTCTGAGTGTTTTCTGAATAGAATCAATGGGAATCAGTTGTGTGTGAAGCCATGGATAAACGCAAAGGCCATGAGAGGCTTACATAAGCTGACATTGAAGACTGCTGAAAAGAAAAACTATATAGGCTGAAACCAGTTGTAAAACTATAGAAGGTAGAGTCATGGGGTCAAGAGGCCAGATGGAAACATACCCTAGCATGCTGAGGGTAAGTTTTCTTTCCCCTCAAGCATACCTGGTGCTCTGGCAGAAAATGCCAAGGCATTCCAGAGAATGTAGGCTTAGCTGGCACCTGCCTCCATAGAAAAGTTTTCATTTTTCGGAACTGGCTGCTCTGCAGGCAGAAGGGCAGTTGGTAACACTCTTCTGGGCTTCATTTACCTACACTGACCTCCTATTCTGAGGGAGTAAGTAAGGCACAGTCCAGCCTCCTGGGTTTCCCAAGCAGTGAGTTATTTTCACTTAGATCCGGGAACAACCTTTAGGGAGAAACGTAAGATAGTAATATTCTTATGAACAACTTCTGTAAGAAGAGAAAAAATAATCTTACACAAATGCCTCTCCAAATATTTTATGATCTATTTAAAAAAAAAAAAAAAGAGAAAGAAAACCTCTGATTTTAGGGGAAAGAGTTCAAGGACACATAGCCAGCACTTTACTTCTAGACTGTCATGGTCCCTCTCAGTCGGTCTGATGGTTTTCTTCTAAAGATGTTTAATGCTATTGAAAATGTGAGGAAAAATGGGAGTCCCAAATCATCTAACAGCAAGTCTACTGGAGAAATTCAGACAGAAGTGCTTTCACAGGGCAGTTGCTCATAGTAACTCTGGAAGATTTGAGACAGGATAAACATCAACATTCCTTTGAAGTTCCCTCTTACTACTGGTCCTTAGGGCACAAATGGCATGTTCTCCTGGAACCGTGGCAGAGGCACTGAGTTTTGTCCATGGCTTCCTCATGAAACCAAATCATGTTCCTCTAACCGGATTTCTCCTGCTTGATGGCTAAAGCTAGAATGGAGAATCACTCCAAAGATAAAGCCTTCCTACCTTACCTAAAATGTGTGAATCTATCACATAAATTCTGAGAGTAAATCCTACCTTTTCATTATTCTTCATGTTCCATCAGTGTGGCAGTGTCTGGCGTGCACATCATGGGGAGTCTGGCCTGAGGGACACCAAGGTGCTTTGGGAGTTGGTGATGGGACTCTTTCCCTTCCTGGTGGCTCTTCATACATGCCTCAGGTGGGCTTTGAACTCTGAGTCGGAGCCAGGTTGGAGGACTGTGAGTTCGAGGCAATTTCCCTGGTTTGTGGACAGAGGGCCTGCCTTTCATTTCAGGGTCTGTCATTTTCATTGGTTCCCTTTTTATCATGAACAGAGAAACTTGTCCTAGAACGGTTAGCAAAGCATGTGCATAAGGACTGCCCTGGGCTGAGCGGTCACCTAAAGGTGGGCTCACACGAGCGGCAAGTCCACCCTGAACTGCTTTTCATCAGCACCTCCACCAGGGGCACAGGAGAAAACAGAAGACAGATGTCTGTTCACTGTTGCATCTTGTGCCAGAGTTCAGCTTAAAAATAGATGTGGATCGCCTGTAATCCCAGCACTTTGGGAGGCCGAGGTCAAGAGATCGAGACCATCGTGGTCAACATGGTGAAACCCCGGCTCTAGTAAAAATACAATAATTAGATGAGTGTGGTGGCACGTGCCTGTAGTCCCAGCTACTCGGGAGGCTGAGGCAGGAGAATTGCTTAAACCCAGGAGGCAGAGGTTGCGGTGAGCCGAGATCATTGTGTTGCACTCCAGCCTGGGTAACAAGAGCGAAACTCCATCTCAAAAAAAAAAAAAAAAAGATGTGGATTCCATGCATCAGCTGCAAAGGTGCCGTGCTGTGGAATGAGGGAAAGGAACTGATCTGGGCCTGAGCAGCTGTCTCAGATTCTGCAGACTGGCGATGCCAATGCCAAGGTTTGTTGGTTGCAAAATAGGAAATTCCATACAACAGCAGCTTCTTTCCAGAACAGCTCATCCCCACAAGCAGATCTTGTTTCCAGGCATGTTTCATAGTTTGAATGGAAGCTCCTCTGAAAAAGATTCTAATCACTTTGACCCTATACAACTTTGGTGTCAGTTTTTGACATTTTACTGCCTTAGTGCCTGGAATCCAGTCATGGCTGAAACTCCCCAGAGGGAGTGGATTTCTCTAAGAGAGATTTGCGATAGAATGTTTTGTGCCATAGTCCTAAAAGCTGGTTTTCTTGGGGCCAGACTTTTTCAGTAGAGAAGCATTCCTATAGCAAAGATGATTTTTAATCAAAAAACCTTGCCCTCGCCTAAGAGCCACTGGAGAGGCAGGGACCATGTGCCAGCTGCTCTGGCAAGCCAGCCTCACCAATCCCAAGTCAGATGTGGTTGGAAAGAGTCCTAGTGGATGACCACACAGCTGCCTGGGGATCAGGACCTAACAGTGAGGCACCCGCTGCCCTCATGCTAGACTGTGTTACTTTCGGGAAGCCTCTGCAAACATCCTGCAGGACACTGATGTGTAACCGTCTGAGACTAGGTCTAGAGTAGCAGTGCCAAGGCATTTGCTGTCCAGGCTGAAGGACACTGCTCAACTTCCTGGCTGAGAAAACGTTCTTTCTGGCTGATTAAACATGTGCTTATTTTCTCATCTTCCCAAGATCACCTGAACATGAATGAAAAGGAGCTTCTTGAAAGGTTTAGGAAGAACAAGCATGTCTCAGGTGGACATTCATCTACAGATGGAACGGAATGAATATACTTGGTTTTGCTGCAATAAACAAGCAAACAAAACTAACACAAAAGT